CCAATATATAAGCCTACAACTAGAATGAAACAATTAGTTTAAGTACAACTTAAAACTTTAAATTAGTGGAATTATAAAAAAATATTTAAAAAATTATAATAAAATAAAAGAATTTATGAGCTAGAGAACATACCATTGAATTGTGACAAAAATTTCATGAGGAAGAATTTAGTCTTGAAAAATAAAAAGAGTAAGAAACTGAGAAAATGAGAGAAGAGGATAAGAAGAAAAGAGAAATGAATATAAAGAAGAAGAAGAGAAATGACATAATGACAGGAGAACAACTATGGATGATCTATATATATATATATATATATAGAAACATTTGCATTAGCCAATATGATTTGTTTCAACATTTTTTACACAAATAATAATTCAATCAAAAGTGGTGAGAAAACTCAATGGGCTTTAAAGATTTTTGAAATTTTGTATTACTCAGCATTAGTGTTAATTTGTTGACTTAAAAACTTAAGAAAAATCTAATCATATGATTTATGAAAGATCTCATAAAAAAAAATCTGCTTCTCTAAATACGAAATACCTCATAATAAAGACTTATAAATTTACATATCCATATATTAATCCTTTTGGTAACATAACATCTTTATCCAAATAAATAAAAGATTAAACCTCATTTGCATATTTATTTGTGTACAAACAGTTGATATAAGATGCAATTTTAAACTTGTTTCAATCCATTTAACCTAATATAAGCATATATAGATAAAAATAATAAGTTCAATTGATATTTAAGTACTACTAAGTATAGAAACATGCAAAATACAACAAAACAATGTAACAAATCTAAAATTAAGCCCAACATCCTTATTAACATAGGATCAACATAAGGCAACTACTCAATACCCACATCATCATCATCATTATCAAATTCAAAACAATTTGAATGTAGAAATCTATCAAACCTATTTTTTCACTGAGTTGTTGACGAAGTTTTTGATCTACTTGATAAACTATTAGGTTGGGTTTCACATAGTGCAAAAAGGTTTGAACATTACCAACACTAGACCTATGAAAACTACCACTACCAAACCTATAGTTATTGCCAAACATGTCATCATATTCTTGTGGTGGATGTAATGTAGTAGAGTCAATAGATGCAGCAAGATAAGTGTTAAATGGATAATCTAGTGACACTGATTAAGGAACATAATATACTTGTTGTGGCAATTTGGACCAAATATTGGGTAAATGACAATTTTGGACCTCAACTTTACAATTTTGTAATTTTTGTCCCTAAACTTTTTTATGCACATTTTTTTGTCCTAAACATTAAAAAATACATTTTTTTAGT